TGAAATACTTTAGTGTTAATCTTGTTCTCAAATATAAGGAATATTAGTATTGAGAATGGTACATGGCTAAATTACCTGCCCATGGAGTTCATTCTAGTGTCTTGAAAGACTGATAGTAGAGAAGATAAAAGACTTGGAGAGCTTGGGAGAAGTAGGGGTGGTGTTCAAGACCCCTGTTCGCCTTTGCTGCAATACTTGTCCCTTTATTAATTTTCATTTTGTGGACTATGTTGTTCTGGAGGATTGGAGCATCTCACTGCCTTAGAAGAACTAAGTTTAAGCAGATGTTATGATCTTAGGCCATCAGAAGAGAGACAGAATGGCATAGGGATTTTTCCATGGACTTCATCACTCCACACCTTGAATATCCAGTATGTTCCACAACTGGTGAGTCTACCTAACTGGATGCAGTTCTTGTCCTCCCTTCAATCCCTTTCTATTACTGATTGCGACTGACTGGAATCAATTCTGAATGCAATGCCCAAACTCATTTTGTTCAAGTAACTGTGTTTCCAACTATTTGGTAAGGTTGGAGAGAAGATGCCAAAAAGATCCCCTTGTAGAGGACTGGCCTTGTATTCAACACATCCTGACGATCGATTATTACAGTAATCCAGCCTCATAATACTTTTGGGTCCTGCTAGTAGTAGTGAGCAAAAGATGCAGACTGGTGTTTGTCAAATTATTGTACTGAACTTCAATTTTGATTTCTGACTACAAAATTTGTACTGTTGAACCTCTTAATTTTTTTTTTAATTTTTTTTTAAGGTAAGATGAAAGACCCTACTAAACCAGCACCTCTCACAGGTTTAGCCAGCCAGCTCCGCAGGTCACCGCTTGAGAGTAGAGGGGGGAGGTAAGGGAATCCCCCTACTCCCAAGAATTTTTGTAGTTAGTTGAACCTCTTAAAATGTTGGGACCATTGTATTCATGTCTCTCCATAAATCTGTATCAAGTCTATTATTGATAGGCAGCAGTAGTCCATACAAATTTATCATTCCTTGAGTCTCTTCCATCTTTCCCTTTTTTTTCTGTGCCAGAATTTTTTGCTTATGAGTGTTGATATGTTAGTTAAGTTTTCTGCTGTAGTTTTGAGCAAGTAATTTCAAATATTCAGTAACAGCCTTGAAGAATGCTTTTGTTGGAGCACCAGTTCCATGCAATAAGTAATCATTATAACAAGCATGAAATTATAGCATGTCATGCACAGTTGGGGAGCTTGAATCAAATGCAGCAGCTGCAAGAAAATTACTAATTCTTTGCTGCATTGCTGACCGCTTTATTACTTGAACTGAACCCCAACTTGACACCTCAAATGGCCTCCTTGTCAGGAGTTAGGACACGGTGACTTAGCTCCAATTCACCTGTCAAAAACTAGCATACCCTTTCCAGCTTCTCAAAGAATGATCTCCTTTGATCTGCCACTAATTGGGGATCTCATGGAGGGAATAAAACCCTCTTAATACCGGAATCTTATTGTTGCTCTCCCCATCTATTATCGGCCTCTAAAGTAGTGCATTCTCACTATCTCCTTCCTATGAAGTTTTGGTTAACGGTTAACCAACTTAAAAGTTTTGATCATGTTCATTCAATTATATGAACCAGCTTTATTTGATCATGTTCATTCAGTTATATGAACCAGCTTTATTTGATCGTGTTCATTCAATTATATAAACCAGCTTTATCTGATCTTTGATCAAGCTTGTTCATTCATGAGAATAGTGGTTCATGTACAACTATTACTTTGTGCTTGAAGTTAGAAACATGAAAATTAGTGATTTTGTATTTTCCCTTTACATACTTGATATGTTTCATTGTACTGTGGAGCTTGAGGGTTGAGGCAGTCGATTTAACACTTTATCCTTTATAGGAGCAAGGTGAATCTTCTTATTCTTTGTTCTCATTGGCTTCTTTCTATACATTGCTATTTAGCACAATCACCTGTATATAAGCAGTCAAGCAGTTGATACTTCTGATTTCTGTTGTTGGCCTCTTTTATTAATGGGTAAACTAATCTCAATTGTGATAAAATGTTATTCTCTTATGGTTTTATCATTATTTTTTATTTTTTAAATTGCCTTTCTGGAAATGGAATTTGCAATCTTGGAGATATTATTGATCCAAGAACACTTGCTGGACTCTACATGCAATTGCTTAGAGGAAGATTACGACATAACACGAATACGAGTGTCTTGAAAGTGACGGGATTGATCAATCTTTGCTAGACAACTTTGAGGTAAGGTTACCTATCTTTCTGTTGTCTTTTCCTGTGAATAATGGAATTCCTATGTAATTATTATTTATGACAAGGCAACTTGAATGAACTGATGTTTATCTTCTTAATGACATGTTGCAATGTACTTTTGGTAAGTTTTATTTGATTGCCCGTCATTCTCCAATAATGCTATCATAATGGACCTATTTTCTTGTACTTTCGTAAGAAATTAAAGCACCTTTATTCATAAAAGAACTGTAAATTCCGTGCTTATCATTGTTTTGTCCCACTGTGTAAAGGCCATTGCGTAGGAAAGCATTTCTGAGACGACTGATCATATAAAAGCACACCATACTTGGACATTGACAGTTTTATTTTGTTAAACTTGTGAATGTTCCTGTGTGTATAGCATATTAATCTCATCTCTCTACGCATGCACACGCGTACACACAGGAGAAGAATAAAAGAATACTCCATAATTGATTGTGTTTCGTATCCTCAAGTCCTATGCTAGCTACTGTAGACCTGGCAATCCTGACCCAAATCCGATGACCCGACCCGAATGACTCGACCCATGACCCGAAATTGACTCGACCCGACCCATACCTGACCCGAAAAAGGACTTGACTCGATCCTGACCCGACACCCGAACTGATCCAACCCGAAGTTGACTTGATCCGAAATTGACTTGAAGTGTTTGACACGAATTGACCCGATACCCAAAATTGACCCGAACAGACCCGATATCCGAAATGTCCTAAACTAAAATTACCTTATAATTGAACTTAAAATGTCTTGTACCAAAAGTAACTCAAATTGTTCATCTTCAACTATAGCTAAACTCATAAACTGAATGATAGTTTTTACTATAACAATAACAAAATATATACTCCGTAGAAAATTATTCATTCGAGCTTGATTCACAAATAAAACAACCCGAACATGACCCGACTAGATTTTGACCTGACCCGAACATACTTGACCAGAAATTGACCCGACCCGAAATTGATTCGATACTTGACCCGAAGTTGACCCGAAACCCGAATCGACCCGTCCCGACCCGAATGTTAGCTGACTCAAAATGACCCAACCCGAAAGTGACCCGACTAGACCCGACCCAAATGACCCATTTGCCAGGTCTACTAGCTAGTGTATACCTTGATGATAGTGTTCCTTCCATTTCTAAATAATTGATGTTGTGTTTCAAGCTCTAACTTTGACTAAATATGCTTAAACTGTATCAGTAAAAGTTACACAATTAGTTTGCTAGTTCGTTCATAGTATTCTATTTCTTATTTTTGCCATTATTTTTATTACAAGTAGAGAAATTTGCCATTAAAGTTCAACTTATATAGAAAATACATCCAACTTTTGAAAATAGAGGGAGGATATACGTTCCTTTAATTTCTTGCTTTGCTTATTTAATGCACTCTTTCTTAACTTTTTTTGTGAATTATGTGCAGTTATGATATACCGTAAAATATGTCCAATTGATTATGCATTTGCCATTTTTAAAACATCTTTTTTTTTTTTGAAAGATAAAACATCTTTTGTTAATTGTTGAGTAATTGGCTAATGTCCTGCTGGTTGACTTTTCCAATTGTAAGACTGTCAGATGCTTAGAACGGTGGTCTGCACATCAATATTCGTAGAGTAGATGAAGATCTAGATCTACATATTTAAGCGATTTCCTGGCTATCAGTTATAATGCATTGATATTTAAATTAATACATGGAGTATATATTATAGAGTCGTTAGAGCTGACACCTAATTTGAAATTGAGGTAGAGTATATAAAAAAAGTAACATAGGGCGGGACTCAATAGAGGTTATGTTATTCGCTTATTGCCCTTTCAATTAAAAGGAAGGAATAAGAGTTTTTAACCATGGCAAATAAGTTGATCTCGGGAATTGACAAAATTCTCTTAATACCAAGTCCTAAGGGTAAGTTTAACACTAGTATGGATTTAACTGCTAGCTCGTACTGTATAACAGTTATATTGTAATTTGGGGTACCATTTGTAGAAATTACATTCAAGTTACAAGGGAAACAACAAAACCGTATACCTCCTCAAGAATCTGAATACTACACCACATACAATGTGCTTTTTAAATACGGGATTGTACTGTTTTGTTAATATTGGGGATCATTTAAGAGCTCCTTTATAATTGGACATTGATACATCATTATCACTAGGATACAGTATCATAAAAATGTGAACATTGTGAAGTGGGTGGGTGGATCTTAACGTCCTACTAACCTTTAATAATTAAGTACTTTAGTTTATTTATATAGACCCAGTAGCGTAATAGTTTTTGTAATTACAGCTTAAATAATTATAAAATGAAAATCACGAAGAAGGATTTGTTAAGACTTTTGACAAATTCATGCATTTTCTTCATAATCCCTGATTTGTGTGCGATGTCAGACAATGACAATTATGATTAGTACTCCCTATGATCTTATATACTATTTATATACGTATTAGATGACTGTTTGAAGTCTTTCTTTTATATATAATAACATAGCTGGAACTCGAAAAATAAAAATACAATGTACGTAGGAAATTGCATATTTTTACCTGTTTATCATATGCATATTCATATGCTACTTAAATATGTCCCTAGTTAAACACACGTATCTGTATAAAGATAAACAAATCTCACAAGCTCTTTCTTTAAAATAAACAGAAACTTCTTATTTGTTGCTGCCTGCATTTATCCAGAAGTGTGATTTATTTTTCAATTGTTGAATACGTTTCTACTTTTCTGTACTGTCTGTTAACATGGCCGAACAAGACTACCAGAGTGACAAAGATAAGGTGGCACCACTGTCTGCAGAAGAGGGGATCAAGGGGAGTCAGATTCCTGACATAGACGAACAAGATGATGGGAGTGACTCAAAGAAGAAGGCACCACTATCTGTGGAAGAGGTGATCGAGGGAAGTCTTGGACGGATGAATTGCAGTCAGATGGTGCAAGCCTTCCTTGCATCAGTTCTTCCAATGTTTGACAACCAACAGACATTTATCAGTGTCTTCACAGATGCTCAATCAAAATGGCATTGCATCAGTGATATTCGAATAGGTAGTAGTTGCACCAGCAGCTCTAACATCTGTAATCTTTCGAAGAGTGAGTGGGCTTGGACTGGGAATAAGCATAACACAATCATATCACACTGGGATCTCCAATGTGCCAGCTCTTTCATTAAGGGTTTGCCTGCAACTTCCTTCTTCATGGGTTGCTTGTTGGGTGGATATGTTCTTGCCTCCCTTGGTGATTCATCGCTTGGGCGAAAGAACCTTCTCTGTCTCTCTTGCTTGGTTATGTCACTAGCTTCATTTGCCTCAGCCTTTTCTCCTAACATCTGGGTTTACTCTGTACTCCGCTTCATTGCTGGTGTTGGTCGTGTCTCCATTACCATTTCTTCTTTTGTCCTTCTGTCGGAGAGGGTTGGCAAGCGGTGGAGAGGACAAATTGTAATGATTGGTTTCCTCTCCTTAACAATGGGATTGTTATCCTTGTCGGCTTTAGCTTACCTGACTCGAAATTCCTCATGGAGCACCCTTTATCTATGTACTTCCATTCCTGGATTTGTGTGCTCCATATTGATTCATTTCTTCCTTTGTGAATCTCCTAGGTGGCTCTTCATGATGGGACGTCCAATGGAAGCCGTAAATGTGCTGAAAAGTATTGGCTCCCTGGATGATCATATCAGCTCTATGTTACCAAACATTCTAGAATTCAATCAAGGTATTCCTAGCAATAACGGGAAAAATCCTTTTTCTTCAATGAAGATTTTAGTCAAGAGAAAATGGGCTATTCGAAGGTTGATAGTAACTATGGTACTTAGTTTCGGTGTTGGAATGATGTATTTTGGTATGTTGTTGGGTGTCGGAGGCTTGGGTCTCAACATCTACTTGAGCTCAACATTCAATGCCCTACTATTCCTTTCATCATGCCTGCTAACATTCCTCTTCTGGATCCCAAGATGCAACAGGAGGAGTTCAGTGCTAGGATTCTGTACGATTAGTGGCGCTGCCGGTATAATACCCATCACATTCGGCCACCATCACAAAGGTATACATGTGGGATTGGAACTGATAGCTCTGTTTTGTGCTTGTATGGTGTTTAATATCTTGTTCATGTATGTGGTGGAGCTGTTTCCAACATGCATCAGGAACACAGCAGCCTCACTGTCGCGGCAAGCACTGCTCTTGGCGTCTGTATTTGTCCCGGTGTTGGTAGTCATAGGGAGGAGTAATCAACTCTTCTCTCATGCAGTCTTTGGTGTGACCATTCTTCTTTGCGGCCTTTTGGTCATTTCTTTGCCCGAAACAAAGGGTAAGGTGCTATGTGATGGCATGGAAGAGCAGGAAGCCCAAGACAAGGATGCTGCTTGCGTGCCAAAGTTATGATTGTGAACTTAAGCTAGAAAAATGATCATGAACAAATTTGCTTGTTGGTAGTTCGTCGCCCTCCTAGCTACCACAAGTTCTCCAATGGTCTTAATAATTTGGGGTGAAAAGTTCATGTAAGATTTCATCCAAGACTTGGCAAAGCTAATTTAATTATGTGCCCGATGTGTATTAATAATATGAGATGATGTGCGTGGTCATTTATTTGGTGAATTGAATCTTGTTAATTGTCTTTGTTGTTGACTTGAAATCACTTCACAAGTATCACAACTGATATTTGATGTATTGAGAGCTCAATTTATTTACTCTGGTTGATCGTGTTCATTGATGCTCATCTTTCTCATTGTCAACGTCTCTCATAGCCTCATAGGGCTCCAAATTGTGCAATCTAGTTATCATTTGAGTCTTCCGTTCTTGGGTGTGACATGCAATTGTTCGTGATATTGTTTTTTGTTTTGAAATGTTGATAGGATGAATGTTAGTTGATATTTGTTCGCCATTTGAGCTTCTATAATCATTTAAATTACCAAAACTTTTCCAACTGCATCCTTTGAAAAGGAAAGATGTCTACCATTATCATTTACAATCATTGAAAAATGGAAATAATCAATAAAATAAATCTAATTTAATCTAATATATATAAATAAAGTAGGTATTTTTTAAGAGCATTGGGCGCGCCATATAAGCAAAGGTATATTTTCGACCAATTAAAAATTAGATTTCTATTTTATTTTGGAATTAAAAAATTCGTTTGCCACCTAAAGAAAATTGACGAATGAGATTTAAGAAGTTTGCCACATAAGTAAAAACAACGAATATTGATTTATTAGGATTTAATGTATTTAAAAAACTAAAAATTATCTTATAAAATAATCATCTTTAGATATAGGATTTATATACCTACTATTATAAGATAAATTTTTATTTGTGATTATTGCTTAAATTGTATTTATTTGGGATACTTAATAATTATATGTTTATGTTTTGTTCACTGAATTTTGTTTTACATGCAGATCTAATTTAATCAGAGAATTATATTCGAGCAAAAATCTTTAGAATATCAAAGTACGAGTTTCTCGCCTGATGATCCTATTGGATGAGGAGGTATTATATCTTTATAAATCGTTTACATTTATTAAATCTTTTAATGAACCATTTAGTTTTTATCAATTAATTTTATGATTAAAACAAATGTTGTGATTTAGGTAGCTTAATTAAGTCATAAAATTAACTTAAATTTTTATTTTTAATTATAGGGTGATTACGTTCATACCTCAATTAAAATCAACTTTGTTCTACAATTTTGTTCAAAATTGATTGAAGAAAAAGTTTACTCCATTAGATACTTTTCAGTCGTTACAAATAAGAAGCAATATCGCACGCATTGTCAGTGACAACAAAATAATGATTTAAATTTCCAAAATACTATTGTTTGGGCGATTGGGGACGATGAAAAAATTCCAATGCATAGATTTAATTTTGTATAATTATAATTTTTAGATTAATTTCACAACAATTATTCACTTTCTGGTAAATATTTTAATTTATTTTTTAAGACTATAAAGATTAATTTTATATAAATTTTATTTTTGCTAATATGTTCTATTTATCCACTTTTATTAGATGGAAGAGATATGGGTGTGAACAAAGTTGGTGATCCTATCGAAATTTTTTTTAAATACAAATTTTTTTACATCGAAATATTACATCTATTAACTATTATTTTTAATGTTCTTATCAAAATATTTATTAGAGGAATAAATTACATAAAATTATCCTTAACAAACAATAGCAAAGTTATCAAAAATATTATGAGTATGATCTAATTACAAAAATTATTTTTATGAGATTTTATGTATAAGAAACCATGGGATATTCGGATTTAACAATTTATGATTGAGCTTAGGTATCTTATGAAATTAATGGTTTTATCTAAATACCCGATTAATAAGATGTTTTTTTCATAAAAAAATTTAAAACTTATAACGCAATAAAAAACTTTACCTTCTTTAAACATTTTATGTATAAAAATTTGAAAAGACAGATAATTTGTTAGAGATCAAGAGTTCACAAGAAATATACAAAATGATATACAGATTTGAGAGTTTAATTTCAAGTGTAAAAATCAACGAATAATGATTTAGGATTTAAATTATTGTCGTATAACTAACAACAACGAATAAAATACAAAACAACAATATATTAAGTCGCATTATAAATTACATTAAAAAAAATTATATTTTTGTAATTGGCAATATCATTTTAATTAAATTTTTTTTTTTTGTCTGAAATTATTAAATTGTAAAATAAATCAAATAATTATAAAAAAAAAACTTAAAGTATATAGGAAAATATCTTTCTTGAGATATATGTATGAAAATTCGTGCATCGCACAGTATTATTTCGACCAATTAAAAGTTTGATTTGTATTTTATTTTAGAATTAAGTTCACTTGCCACGTAAGCAAAAGTGACGAATGAAATTTAAAAAAATTTCCACGTAGGTAAAAACGACGAATAATGATTTATTAAGATTTAAATTATATTAAAACTAAAAATTATCTTTTTAAAAAGATGATCTTTTGATATTAGGATTTAAATTTAAAAAAAAACTATAAATTACACAATTATTATATACAAACACTTTAAAATTAATTATTTGAAAAAGGAAAATATATGTTCATTTTGTTTTTAAGAAAACGTTCAATCAATTTTTTTTTTTAAAAAAAAACATTTTAAAAGAAATATAAATTATTAATAATTAACTGATATTCTTTAATTTTTTTAAAGAAAAATCAATGTTCTTCAAAAAAATAAATAACAATAACGTTCAGTCTTTATCAATATTCTTCAAAAAAAAAAAACAATAATGTTCAATTTTTATCTTATCTAGCAACCTATTTCATAATTAGATAAAAAATTTTATAAGAGATTTATTTGCTACTCCACAAATATATAAGATAGGATGACATTAAAGATTTGTATACATCCTCTCAAAAATATAATTTTGATTTTTTTTTTCAATTGTAAATAGACAATATATATACTATACAAAAAACACAAACATGCATGTGGATATTATTTATCTACACTTTCTCATGGTGTGAATTTTTTTCAGGTCTAATTCGTTGATTAACAAAAAATATTGGAAATAATGTAAGTATATGATGGTAAACTAGATAAATTGATTGTTATTCATTATTTTATAAGATGTATGTTTTGTTTTATTTTACCTAATCTAATTATGTTACTTATCGTATTAAATTTTGTTAAACAACTTAATTGTAACTTAATATTAATTATTCTGTATTTGAAGGGATTATGTCCATGCTCCAATTGAAAGAAATTATTGGAAAAGTAAGGGTCTGTTCTCTTCAGCTTATTTTCAATTCAGTTCAGTTTAGTTCCTAATTTTCTTCTCTCATAAAATATTCAGTTTAGTTCAGCTTCAATCAATTCAGTTCAGTAAATCAGAACAGGCCCTAAGTCAACTATAATGTTACAATAGTAGGGAAAAAAAATTAAAGATTGTAAGAGATGTCTCTTATAATTTTGATTTTTTGTGTATTATAGTTTCTAGTAGAATATCTATATTATTATTGTAAAAATCATTGTACTGGTGTATACATATAACTCTATTATTAAGACATATGATAATGAAATTTCATTATAAAGATTTAATTTTATTTAATTAGATTCATTTTAGTAATGCAACACTCTTGGTAGTATATATATATATATATATATATATATATATATATATATATATATATATATATATATATATATATATATATATATATATATATATATATATATTTCACTTAACTATTTAAAAACTTATAAAGTCATATCTTTTACTATTACTTTCACCGTCTTTATTTTAACCCTATAGTTTTGGGTTTACTTTATTAATTTTTCATTGTATAAAGTTGATACGGAGTAAAAGAATAATGGTGGTCTAAGTTATTATTTGTGAAAAAAAATAGTGATTCTATAACTATATATGTATAGTGGAACAACGTGTTTTTGTTATACAAACGAATCATAGGTTAAAAAATACGAACAGGATTATGATTTTATTCTAATATCTATTATACTTATAATTTTTATATAACTAATATTAGTAAATTAAGGTCGCATTATAAGTTGCATAAAAATAAAACAAATTATCTGTTTTCTAACAAGCTAAATAATAAAAAAAATATAGGGTTAAATTAAGAAAATAATCTTTTCATGAGATTTATATATAAAAACCGTACATCATACGGGCTTCCATCTAGTTATGAATAATTTGGATAAACCCGTACATAACATAAATACGAACTAGGATATACTTCGTATATAAGAAGGTTATTTTTTTAAATTTTAAATAACCTTTTACGAGTAAATTTGAATTTCGACCATCGATATCGATTTATATCTGATGGTTAACATTATATACGTGTCACTAATCCTCCTATGTTTTCATTTTTTTCCCCTTTGAGCTTTTCACTTCTACGCTTCACCCTCTCTCTCTATCTCTCTCCTCCATTGAAGCGTACTCTGACTTCTCCATTGAAGCGTACTCTGAGTTCTCCTCCATTGAAGAAGTTTCTGAGGTAAATGTTTTTTTTTTTTTTTTTTTCTTTTTTCAATTATCGAATATAAATTTCACCATCTAGGGTTTAATTGCACTCTCGTTCATTTTATTGTCAGTTTAGTAAATTTAGGGTTCTTCTTAGGTGGATTACTTAACTATTGGCTATATTTACTGAAAGTATGAAAATTTATAACGAGCGATTTTGTTGCTGTAATTTTGTTATGTGTAATTTACGTTGTTGATTGAAAGATACGATTTTTATGTGATTTTAGAGCCTAATTTGATAATTGAGTAAGTTTGGTTGCTGATGAGTTGCAATTTTCGATTCTAATCGAGCCCACGAGCCTGAGCCATGCTTGGATTTTGAGGCTCGTCGGGTTCACGCTGAGCTCGAAAAGGGTAGGCTTGGCTCGAAAATT